AAACTCACTTGATTAAGCATTTTCAAATCAGAGTATAACAAGAGCCTTATTCCCCCTCCTTTCCTCCAACATAATGTCCCCTGGTGTGCTGGCATGGAAATGAATCTCTAATAGAATTTAAATATGCCTCATAGGGCTCTGGGTTGTATGGCACAGAAAGAAGCTACAGGATGTAGGTGGTGGCCCCACATTCTCTGGGTTCTGTATCTGGCCAAACTCTGCATCTGGTGTCTCCCAGAAAGTTTGGTGCCAATGTCATACAATGCCACATCTGTTTTCAACAAATGTTTAAGCACCAACTTCTTAAATTCCTGGCAGGGAAACCTAGCATCCAGTATTTCTAAAAATAGCTTTGAGATTTCAGCAGATTTGGGGTTAATAAACTGTTGCTGAATTTTTCTGTTTGGGAATCAAATTATCATTTAGCTTTCACTGAAATTTTAGCCATATTGCATTGTTATAGATTTGTATAAATTCAGTATCTTGGTAAATATTTAATGTTATTCCTATCTGAATAGTATGGAATCACTGGTGTGAATACTTCCAGTCCTTATAAATAAAATGAAAAATTTTTGTTGAAGATAAATTCTGTGTTTAGAAGTTTCACATGAAAAGATGGTCAGGATGTATGAAAGTTTATTTTGCTACATCTAATTTTTATAACAGTGCTGTATGATAGATATTGTATTTTTAAAAATGAGGGAATTTGGGTCTAGATAAACTAGATAACTTGCTGATAGTATTATAGCCAGTAAGTGGTTCAGCCACGATTCTTCCCCAGGTCAGACCCTCAGGGCTGCACTGGTCATTGCCCCAGCTGCAGGGTCCCACTCTACTGTGACACACGTGGGGGTTTTTACTGCTACTGGTGGGGTTCATGTTTCTTGAGATCCTATATCCTGTTGCAGAAAACTAAATATAAAATATTGCTTAGTCTGCAATGTGTTTTTGGCTGTTTATTTTATATAACAGTTCTACCCACTGTTACATTTTTTTCAGTAGAGTTTATAGCATTTTAAAGGTTGAAAGATTGGTTCATCCTTGGCTCATGCTTATTTTTTCAGGATGAAAATAGAACTCACAATCAGATTGTAGTTAATGGGTAATTTATTTTTAATTTTCCTGAACATTTAACATTCACATTTCCTTCCATTTCTAAAATACAAAATTTATGTCACCTAGTTATTTTTGAATATGTATTTTCTTGTAATTAACTTTTTAATAGATAAGGCATTCAGTTGATTTCAAATTCAAGGCATAGAAAATAATAATAACAGTTAACTAGACCTATGTGGCACTCAGTATGTGCCAGACATTCATCTAAGGATTTTTATTGCATTAAGTGAATCCTTGCCAAAGTGAGGCTACAGGTACTGCCTCTCTCTTTTGTGAACAAACGAACTGAATCATGAGAGAGATACCTCAACATTAAGCTGGTGTGGGTTTTGTTTTTTGACCAGTCGGTGTTACCTCCTTTGGAAAGCCTTTTTATGAACACAACTCTTGTTTTTGGGTTGATTCCCGTGCTTACCTTACAATTAGGGATTTTTTTTCTTTCATTGCATGTATTACTACTTTCTCTCATTTTTTTCCTTAAGCCATAAGTTTCCCCAAGGGAGGTACCTTGTGTTATACTTCTGTTCAGATACAAAAGTTAGTATAATTACTGACACCCTCCAGGTACTTAATAAACACTGCTTTGCTAGGATTTATTTTCCCATTTAAAAATAGCAATATCTTCACAACATCATTTAGAAAATCAAATGCAAGTTTGTAGCAGATTGTAAACTTCAAAGCATTATACAAATAGATATTAAGACAACGAAGATGTTTTTAGTCTTTGAGCACAAGTACAGGATTTAGCAATTGATCATATGGGATCTTGAAGTTGAGTATGTCATTGTGTTCTGGCCTGCTTATTTTTAGCCTGTAATCTTAATGATTGCAAATGTTTTTTGTGTATTTTGATTGCATTTTAAAAATATTGTACAGAAGGCAAAGTGTTTATGTCCCAGTATTTAAATATTGCTGACTCATCCTGTCTAAATTCTATAACTGCTCCTATTATCTAATTCAGTGTTTCTCAGTATTGACCATAAGAACCTTATGTATAGTTTTGTTTTTGTAAATCAAAGATTTTTAGGTACTGACCTCGGAATCTTGTAGTCAAATCTCAGGTTGAGAGGGAGAGATCATCACTGATAATTTTGATAAGCATCTAGGAATGAGAAATAATCTAAGTGTTCTGGAATACTGTCTGGAAAAAAGGGCTTACTATCACCAGAAATATTTTTAATAGAAAATGCAGTTGTTTCATATTTAATAGCTCTCCAGAGCACTGACATTTATTTTGTTACTCTCATGTATATTTTACAGTCAATTTGTGTTGGTGAGCTATGCAGATACTCTAATTACTCAAAACCATATGGCCATGGCAAGCAGCTGATAAATGGGTTACAGTTTTCGAGGCTAAAAAAATCATCTTTGGCTTGCCTGGGAGAACTTTGGAGTGTTGAGCCAGCCCTCACTTAACAGAAATTGCAGCTTCGGATGTAGACATTACATGACTTGCTTGTAAAAATGAAGGGCCATCTATTCAGGCAGGAACCTTGATAACACTCATCAGTTTCCATAAAAGGTTGTCATTCGCACCATCTGCTAGTCTGATGGTCAGAATATTACATGCCTCTGCCCTTAGTAAAACAGTACTCGCAGGTCAGGCCCTCATGGAAGAATATAATCTGAAGTGGTTGTCAAAAGCCTCATTATGGAGAATTGTTTGAAGAACATATAATCCAAGTATACTAATTTATCATAGAGTTTCAGAAAGCTCTTTTAAGTATGTCTCATTTTGCTATTGCTTTCTTGTTTCCCCATTTGTAAAAGAGAATTTGAATTCGCAGTCACATTAGGAGTTTGTCCAATAGTTGCATTATCCATCAAGAGTATTGCTATGGATAATAGAGAACTTGCTTTTATAATTTAATAAGTAAGCACAACCCTGTGCTGATAGGCTAAAACTTATTAGGATGTGGCCAGTTAGAAAAGCTTAATGTTTCTTCTGTCCAAATATATCACAGTGGGTGCTATTTTTCATGCAGTGGGCTAACTACGAGGTGGAAGCATACTACTCCTAATTATTTTACAACACTCAACATTTCTCTGTATCTTTATTTTTACACTACTAATTCTCAATTTCTGCCTTTTATTGTCTGATAAAGTGAGCCACTTGTTCTTTTGTCAGGAAAGAAAAAAAAATCAGTGATTTCTTTGCTAAATAAGTCATTTTCTTATTCTAACTAAATACTTGTACAATAAAAAAATAATAACTAAGAAAAGCCTTTCTAAAGTTTGTGAATGGAAATGCAATGCAGTACCAATGGGGGGAAATTTGTTATAAAATTATTTTCTTGTACTTATTAGTCAAGAATGTGTTAATTTTAAGCACAAAAACCTAATGGAGATAGGGAATTATTTTGAGCAACCTCTGGATGTAGGCAGAGAAGACTTGACATTACCAAGGGAACAGAGGTCTTTCTGTTTCTTTTCCCACACTCCAGCATCCTCAGGGCATAAGAGTTGGTCCTCAGGCTTTTGACATCCAGGATTCTAAAGTTCTAAAATGTCTTCTCTGCCTATACATGTCATTTCCCAAGAAATGCAAAGAACTGGGGTGGAAGGCTTTATCCTTCTAAGACATGTCTGACTGTCCCCAACAGTACAAGCACTTCTTTGTATTTTACTGACCAAAGCTAGGAAATATGGCCACTTGTAGGTGTATGAGAGATGACAAAATTATACTTCTACTTTTTGCTTATGCTGTGAATTCCTTCTTTCTGTTTGTCCTGCTAAAATAGTCTTTGGTGAATGTTGTTACTGAAAATGAATTAATTTCTTTATATTTTCCCTTTAGTATGGCTGTGTTATGCTCAGCTTAATTGAATTTAGGTATTCACAGCACATTTTGTTCACAAAGATAATTCTCTTTTGAGGTGCATATTGTATTTTGGAAACTGTTGAGATTATCTAATTGATTATCTAAAACCTGGATGAGCAGATAATGTCTCACAAACTTTAGTCCTTTACAATGCAATCTCTTTGTAGCATTTTGGACAGTTTCTAATTTTCTTGAGATAAGCTGTACACAGTGGTTCTAGATGTTGCACAAATAGTTTTGATATCAAAGTAGCATTACAAGAGCTTTTTAAGAATCTTATGAAAAAGGAAAGCAATAAAATATTGGATATGAGATAAAACTAAGTTGATAAATAATGCCTTTGAGAGTAAATGATAAGAAAAATAAAGTGGCACATCAGGGAGAATCTACTATAGGAACCCAAGAAAGAACAATCAGACAGATTGTTCAATTAGCTGGACTTCCATGTAACTTTAATTTCTTTATGTCTCAGTTTATCCATCTTTTCATATAAATAGAAATTATGCTAATTTTATGTTATCATTTGACCTTGCCATCTGGGAGGTTTGGCACATAGTAAGGGTTGTGAGTTGTTAGTTTCCTTTACAGAATGAATAAAGGTGAATATAATGCCTACTTTCAAAAGCAAGGTGTGTGTCAGTATTTAAGGCTTAGGCAACTTGTCTTTCATGTGACAAAAACCCATATTTTATAACAGCCCAGCTGCCAGCCTTAGAATGGTGCAGTGTTATGAAGTCTTGAAAGTACCTAAGAAAAATGAATCTCAGCCCATGTTCTGTTTGGATCTGTTTCATTCCATATACATATGTATAGTAAAATTCTGGGAGTTACTGGATTTAAAAAAAAAATACGAGTATACTTTCAAAATCCAGGGGTTTTTTTGTTGTTTGCTTATAGTTCTGTTTTTATTAATTTTATTGGTACATTTTAAGTATACAATATAATGACATTCATCATTGGAAATTTGTACCTTTATGCAATCTGTCTTGGTTCTTATTTTTTCCCCATTCCCCTGCCCTCCTGTTTGTCTTATAGTTCTTAAAAATATTTTTTTCCGAACTAGGATTTTAAGAGTGGACTTGGTATTACCATAATTCCTATGAATGTAGCAAATGTAAAGCAAGTGGATCGAACTGTGAAACAGTCTTTTGAAATAATCACTCCTTATAGGAGTTTCAGGTAAGCTTATTTTTTTTAGTAACAGGGATCGAACTTGGGTCCTTGCGCTTGCATAGCAGGTGTCGAAACCACTAAGCTAAATCCCCAGCCCTATAGGTAAGCTTATTTTAAAACTTCTTTTGTGTTACTACTACAAGGAAGCTCAGCAACCCATCTTTATAATACTAGTGGTGATTTTATCCATTATAGGACATTTAAAATGAACATGTGTCCTTTCCAGGTCATCTGACTTAATAGCCAGCACATAAAAACACCTTATAAAAGTAGACTGAATAACTATGCAACCTATAAAAATCCTTACTTCATGTTTCTTTTCTTAATATGCCTTTTTCACAGTAGATTTGGTGAATATTTACTTTTTATCAATAAATGTGTGACAAATTTCTTCACGTTTAGAATAGTTTAAAAGCACATTTTACATTGTCTTTAAGTTGCATTATTTACCTTCTTTTTGCCCAATCAGGATACTATCCCTCTTACAACCCATCCCTACTTGTCATTTCCTCCAAAGCCTCAGTTTCAGGGGAAACAATTTAATGGATCACATACAGTTATTAATGCAGATATTTTTGCACTTCACTTAATATTGTATTCTTTAGTAATTCCACGACTGACAAAATTTCTAAAATATTTAATGTTTTAATAATCTATAATGAGTCCATAGATACAGTATACAGTGTAGACAAAAGTCACTATTATTGAATAATTCATTTGTCACAAATAATCAAGATACTTCAGGGTAGCGTGAAGGTCAGAAGCAATTGTTTTAGATTTTCGGAAAGAGTAATGATTACTTAACAATATCAAAGATACTGCTAAATTCATTACTCATTTTGTGTGTCAAAATGTGTCCTGGCTCTCTTTTTAAAAGACAGGATCTGACCTTGAATTCACTATGTAACCCAGACAGGCCTTGAGCTTGTGGTGATTCTCTTGCTTCAGCCTCCCTACTGCTGGGACTGGCTCAAGTTTTGAGAAAGAAATGATTGAATAAAAAACAAGTGTTTATTTTAACACTTGCAGATTCTGGGTCTGGGGATGTAGCTCAATAGTAGAGTGATTTCCTAGCATGCCTGAGGCCCTACATTTGGAAAACAGAGTTCCTCCTATACAAGCAAACAAAAGAACAAAAAAACATCAAACACACAAAAAAGTAAATAAAAGTAAAAAGACTGGATAAATAAAATAACGATACTGGCTATGAACAATAATCTCCAGTATAACTTGAAATAACTAACAATTTTATTAGTATTATAATGATAGAATCATGAAGTGCTTCAGAAAATATATGTAAGCCATGTACTTTCATAGATTATTTAGAAGTTGTTAACCAGCTATTATTTTCATTGTATTTCAAAGCATTTGAACTTTTAGAGCAGAAAATTGTAATGTGATGATTCATTTTGTTAGTGATTGACTGGCACACTGTGGGTACTCAGTAAAGCTTTCCTGAAGGAGTGAACTGCTGTTTCATGTTTTATCCCTTCAGTCAAGTGCTCATGAAATACTAAGAAGCGGAGTAAGTCAGAATATGGTTAAAAATGAGTTATGGATGTGTTAGAATAGTATCCACTTAAAACTTTTCTGGCTTCTCAATCTCTCAAAGCCATCTGGACATTCTTCTAATTTAAAAAAAAAATCTATTTTTAACTTTAAAAAAAAATCAGTGGGTGTTTTTGGTAGTTTAATCTCAGACTATCATGGCATATTTACTTGGCAAAATATTCTGGTAGTCTTCAAATTCTGCCAGTCTCTGATCAATGAGTATATTACCCTTGTTTAGGAAACATGGCCTCTTATTTAAGCTTTTGATTTAACAAGGAAGTTTTTATATCTTGATAAGAAAAATGTGTGTGGTCATTTTGGTTCAAGATATGTAAACAAAGTCATAAACAATATGGAAAGTTTAAAGAGAGAAAACCGATTTGTTAAATCAGACGATTTTTAGCAGAAAGGATAATCCAGAACTGCTTGGCAAGCATAATTTTCAGCTGGTTTTTAATTTGTGAGGAAATGAATATGCAAACTGAACATACTGCTTAATTGGCCTTTACAAAGGAGATCGATAATGCAGAAACGTTAATTGTTTCAGCTTTACAGCCGAGTCTGAAAAAGAGAAACAAGACTGGATTGAAGCTGTGCAGCAATCAATAGCAGAAACTCTCTCTGATTATGAAGTAGCTGAGAAGATTTGGTTCAATGAGTCCAACAGGAGCTGTGCAGATTGTAAAGCCCCAGATCCCGACTGGGCGTCCATCAATCTCTGTGTTGTCATCTGTAAGAAGTGTGCAGGTAATTAGTGCTAAGTTATGCTCATCGCTGCTTTGTGGCACACTGGCACTGACTGCTCATTGTCATCATATATAATGTGTCCTAGCTAATGACTGTGAAAAGTAGAACCAGAGAGACCTTATTACACCAAAATCCAATTTAGAAATATTGTATAGTTCTGTACTCCTCTTATGCATGACTCAGATGTAAAAATTGATTTTTAAGCATGTAATCATATATTGCTCTTGTTAGTTCATGTATAGATTTTAAAAACACAGTGTTAAAATTTTTAGATATTTGAAATGCAACCAGCACATACTTGCAACTTTACGTGAAGATTTGTCTATTTTGCACTGTTCTCTTAGGATGTATTTTTCACATCAATGTTGTTCTGAGCCCTAAACTTCCTATATGGATCTGGCTTCTCTTTAGTAATAATTTTATGTAGACACATTTTAAAACAGTATTAATACTCATGAAAGTAGCTTGTATTGTGACTAGTTTTCTTGTTTTGTGTTTTTGGTACTGGAGATCGAACTCAGGACCTTGCACTTGGGAGGCAGGCGGTGCAGCCACTGAGCTAAATCCCTGGCCAGTAACTAGTTTTTTATTGAAATCTTAATACCTAACTACCTGGCTTCTCAGTGAATTTGAGAGTTCAGACAGTTATCTCAGGGAGTAGAGGGAAATGGATCTCATAACAGGAATGCTAGTAGAGGTCTTGGAGAGAGTTAGCCACAAGCTAAACTTTACTGCAGTTTTCTTCTCTGTCTCCTCTCCGTCAGAGGGACTCCCCTCTGACCGCCTCTTGCAAACAGAAAGCTAGATGATGAACAGACATGTGTACATACATGTGCATGCACGTGTACTAACTCACACAGAAGCTTTACCTAGAATATGCTAGTCTGGGAAATTAGACAAATATATAAGACATGACATTTCTTCCAAAAATGTATACATAGTAATTACAGTACTGCATGATAAGTACAGGACTAGAGTTTAGTACAAGGTTCAGTGACAGATTATAGAAGAAGAGCTCCTACCTGAGCTACAGCCAAGGCAGTGAGCAGTGCAGCTACAAGAGTTGCCTGGAATCCTTTTCTACAGCCCTAATACATTACACTTCTCATACTACAAACAGCTTTTCTCACCAGCTAATTAACAGTAATGGCAACAATGAAAAACATCAGGCAGCCACCCTCTCCATTAGATTTTTAGAGGAGATAGCTGTGTGTGGTCCTGGGCCTTTCTACTTATGCTGCCTTTCTTTTCTCTCTCCTTAGGATCCTCACCTTCCCACTTATTCTTCTCACTTACTCTCTTAAATGATTGTTCAGCCATGGTTTTTCTGTTCCATCATGCTACTTGGATAAGTCTGTCATGTTAACACCATCAAGCTTTCTGAAAACTTTCCATTCCCCTCCATTTTTTCCCCTTTTTTTCTTTCATATATAAATTTTGGAAGCAGCCTATATGGCCATCAATAGATGAATGGATAAAGAAAATTTGGTATTTATACAGAATGGAGAACTCCTTTTCCATAAAGAAGGATAAACATGAGGCATTTTAGAGAAATAGATGCACCTTGAGACCATAATGTTGGAATTTTTTTTGAGACCATATTGTTAAGTGAAATAAATCTGACAGACAAGCTTAAATATTGGATAGTTTCTCTTATATGAGAAACCTGAAATAGAAATGAAGAACAAAATAAAAGAAAATAGGGGCCTGGGGATTTAGCTCAGTGGTTCCGCTGCCTGCCTTGCAAGCACAAGGTCCCGAGTTCTATCCCCGGTACCAAAAAAACAGAACAAAACAAGAAGATAATAGGAAGTAGGGCAGTAGATCTCTTTCAGATGGGAAGGAGACCAAGAGATGGAGGGAGAAGCAGAGAGGGAAGAAAAGGGATGAAAAAAGAATTGAAACGTGTTATGTACGTGTGCCAGCTCCCCGTGAGGAGTGAGATCACCGTGTACTGCAAACGTGTACTAATAAAGGAATAAAAACTGAAAAAATATAGTTTTATTTTAATACAGGATAGTAACAAAGATGATTGATGTTACCTAGTGTGTTTTTTTCCATAAACTACTCAGTGCTATGGACATTTAGCAAAGTAGGTATTAGTATGTTTTAAGATGAGATTATTCACATTCTTATGTGTATATATACCTATGCATTTTTTTTTTTTTTTGGACCGGGGACTCAAACTCGGGACCTTGTGCTTGCAAGGCAGGCAGCAGAACCACTGAGCTAAATCCCCAGTCCTGGCCTATGCATATTTTTAAAAGAAAGTAATATAAATTCATTAAAAATTAAGCTGAGAATTTTACTACTTATTATTTACTTCAGGACAACATAGATCTTTGGGACCAAAAGATTCCAAGGTTAGAAGTCTGAAAATGGATGCCAGCATTTGGAGCAATGAACTCATAGAGGTGAGCCCTGTTTAACTGGTAGTGATGAACAGAGATCCAGGTAGAGGTATGCAATGGGGTGGCAGGATTTCTTTACATGGTCTTTTGTGAGGCCATCACCACATTAGGAAAATGGCTGTGAACTATTTGATAAAGTAACTCAGATACCTTTAAATAAGGTACTTGTTTAAATAAAAAGTAAAGGGAGTTTTAGCAGTAATAACTGCATAAAGACTGGACAGCTTTTATAAAATTAAGAACTTTCTTTTTAACTAAGCATGGTGCCATATTAGAAATTTGAATGAAGACATTTGGCAGAATATATTATTCCTCATCTTGGACAACTTAACTACTGTTGAGTTGAAGGTGCTATCCCTCGTCTCCATTTTCTTCTCCCCTTCCACTCTTAGCACCATTAATACACCTGCTGTGTTTTGATTAAATGTGTCTTCATGTGAGCTTCCAAGATTAAGACTACTTTACCTGCAATTTGTGTGGCTTGTATTTCCTTTCCACGTTAATGTTTTGCTATTATTTAGAGCATATAGGCTATACATTAAAAATAGATATATCTACTTTCACACTTCATCTTCCTAAAAGAGTTGTCTTTCATATATTCTCTTACATTTTATACTGTTATGCTTTAATTTATAATGAAGCTTTCTGAAGATTCTAGTACATTTGATGAACTGATGTTTTATAATTTTTTAAATATTTCAGCTTTTTATTGTCATTGGAAACAAAAGAGCAAATGATTTTTGGGCTGGTAACCTTCTAAAAGATGAAGAATTACAAATGGACTCACCAGTAGAAAAGAGAAAAAACTTTATTACTCAGAAATATAGAGAAGGAAAATTCAGAAAAACTCTTTTGGCCTCTCTGACCAAAGAAGAATTAAATAAGGTATTCAATAAAATGTAACAGTAGATATGGACTTTAATGCCTTTTTAAACATGTGCCAAGTTTCTTGATAAGAAATAAAAGGTCTTATGCTATTTGATAAAATTATTGTTTAATTTTTATACGTTCTTTTGTGAGACTGTAATGGTTTTCCCCTTGTTTTACATGAGTATTCATTACCATGGGTGAATAAATTTTTCCTCTCTAACCATGGTTTTCAACTAAATCACACTTATCCTCAATATTCTTAAAACTTTGAGCACATCCTCTGTTTTACAAAAATGTAACTTTTTATATTATGGACAGTGTCAACCAACATTGACAATTTATTCATTGTATTATTGTAAACTATAATTTGTTAAATACAGTGGACTTGAAGTCTTGCTTTTCTTTTTATAAATATTTTATGCTGCCCATTTGGTCTTTTGACAAAGATTTTAAGGCAAATATCTTTGCTAAATATTCCTACCTCTTTTTCTAAATTGCTGTTTCTTCAGTAAGATCCTTTTAGTTTAGTTATTTAATGCTTTTATATACCCATTTCTTTTAATGTTCAGATGATAATATTTTAATTATTTTCAGTTCCTTAATGTTTTTTAATGGCCGTGCTTGTTGGGTAAAGATTCTTACAGAAGTAACATTGTGTTGAGTATTTTGGAAAAAAAGACCTTTGTCCACATTTTGGGGATATATATATATATATATATGTACTGTGCTTTTTTATCTGTTGGTTCAGTTCTCCTAAAACAAGTTGCTTTCCTTTGTATGTCTTAAGTATTACTAATGTGGGGTCATTAACTGATTTTAAAGCAACATCATACAAAAATGCAACATTTCTTGTGGGTTCCTAAGGTGAAGAAGACCCAGGAAGATGGCTCAGTAGGGTGGGAACCAGATTATTAGATGTAGGGTGTTTAGTGACATATTTAAGATTTTGGGGGATAGTATTTTCATAAGACTAGTTGTATCATTAAGCTAACCAACCACTTATACCCGATATTCATAGGATAATAAGGTATTATAAACCTAGGATTATGCTTAGTGTAATTCTGTATATCAGAGGTCCATAAACTAAGTATAGAGAGAGTAAATTGTAGGTTTTGGAAGGCATTTGTGAGTTTAACACAGCAGTATGTTCCCCCCAATTCATTCTCCCATTGCACAGTAAGGCGAATCTTGTTTGTGAGCAGTTATTGATGTCCTCAGGTGATGTCCTGTCTCTCACACCATGCAGTTTCCATGAATGAAGCCATTAGATAAGTTTTAGATTAAGTACTAACAAGTGCATCCCTCCTGAATATTTTCGAGAAGTTTACTTATTAGAACTTACATCTACAATGGACATATTAAAACTATCATGTTAGTGTCAGTGAGTAATTTTCACAAAAATCATTTATGCAGTTATTTTTGTACACTTGGTAATTACCGAATCCTCTTTTTGTTGCTAGAGATACAATAGTGTTAACAAGTAGATTTGGTTCTTTTATTTCTGGGAATGACAGTCAATTAAGACTGGTGGTAACAGCTAGATTCCACTAAATACACAATAGCCAGGATAGTGTGCTGTGAAGGAAAAGAATAGGGTAATGAGAAAGGGAATGAGCAGAAACGTAAACTGAGGAGGTGCTAGAGACAATCAGAATGGAATGTATAGTTTTTTTTTTCCCACACCTATACATGAAGAAAATCTAAGACCCAGAGAGAGAGAGAGAGAGAGAGAGAGAGAGAGAGAGAGAGAGAGAGAATTTGCATAAGAGCCCTGACAAATTATTACAAGATCAGTTGTAAGAATTCAGGCTTCTTAATTCTGAGGTGAAGGAAATTCCAGAGGTGAGCCAGGCCAGGTTTGAAAAGATAAGTTCTTTCTTACCATTTGACCCTCAGGGCAGGAACCATGAGTATATCCTGGGACTTCTTGGATATATCCTTTGAGTTCCCCTTGGGAACAGCTCCTGCCATTGATTCAGGCAGTGTCGCAGAGGGCAGAATCACCACCAATCTGTCCATGTGTAGTTTGTCTAGAAGAAAGTAATGCAGTGAGTCTGAAGCTGAACATTCAGGTGGAGTCGGAATGTGACCATCTTCATGTGTGAAAGATAATAAAGTGCAGGCTGAGAACTGCCCTAAATAGCATGGAAAAGGTATAGAGGCAGCTTATTCTAAGAAAAAAAAAATTTCAAGTCTCTTTTTTGATGTTTGTACAAGGATGCTGTATAATGTAAGTCAGTAATGTTGCTTCATTGCCTCTTGCTTACTGTTCCTCTTCCCGTTCCTTGTCCCTAAAGGAAAGATACTTTAGACATATCTTTCACATTGCCCAAGCACAATGATAATTTAAAATTCTCCGCCTTCTGATGAGGTTGGAAAATATATTAACATCATTCACATGCAAAACATTCTGTGTATACTTCACTATTACATTTACGGTGTTTTAAATTTTTATTAGCATCAGCCATTAATCACAGCATTTAAACATAAAAAGTATCTTTCAAAACAGTTACGATGGATTGGAAAGTTTGAAAGGAGAACATCATAGTAAAGCAGTGAATGGAGGGTGGGAGGTTTGGGTTGTAATTGAGATCCATACCTTTTGTGCCTACTGCCTACCTCAGAGCATGGTTATTAAAAGCCTTCTTAGGAAAAAAGGAAAGCAAGCTCCATCTCATAAATGAATTGTCAGACTTCCATCCTTTTCCTACGTTGAATCATATTTCCTTTCCTTAAAAGGTATATTTTTTGTTAACGACTAGGCTCTGTGTGCTGCTGTAGTGAAACCAGATGTGCTGGAAACAATGGCTTTGCTCTTCAGTGGCGCAGATGTCATGTGTGCCACTGGAGACCCTGTGCACAGCACTCCCTATCTGTTGGCCAAGAAAGCTGGACAGAGTCTGCAGATGGAATTTCTGTACCATAACAAGTTCTCAGGTTTGTCCCTAGCACTGCTGCTATCCTGCTGTCTTCTCATAGGGCCCTAAAAGGACTAAAGCACAATCTTTTTGTTTCTCAACTAAAATCATCAGAATGAAGAAAAATATAATTACCAAAATATTTTTATGTCATTTCAAGAAAAAGTTCAGGAAATACATCTTTTATATTTCCTTAATTTTATAAATGGAAGACTAAAATTGTTAATCCTATATAATCATTTCCACCAAAATTAAATCCGATTTTCATACATGAATAATAAGTATGACTTCGGTTCTTATTTGCAAATTTTATGCAAAGTAAAACAAATCTCTATATTCAGTGGTAAATTTGAAGTCATTTTTCTTCTAGTTTAAAAATCACCTACATACTCATAAAGGAATAATTATTTACATATTGTATTATTTCATTAATTTTTCTAGATTTCCCTCAACATGATATTCATTCTGACACTAGGCTAAGTCAAGAGCCTGCCCAGGCCACATTCCTCTATGACTTCTTGTATCAAGCTCCTGCTTCTGCTTCTAAAGTATCTTCAGAGAAGAAACTACTTGAAGGTATCTTTTCTGCCCCTCTTAGATATTCTTCCAGATAAAACTTTATTTCATTATTAAAATAAGAGGTTTAAATTTTGATTTTTGTCCCTTAAGATATTAGATGTGGTCTAGCAATAGAGAGATATTTTTTGAACATCTATAAATTAAATGCTTGTAGGTGTAGATATTCTTTCACGTGCTGCAGCAAGGACTTAGTGCTGGGTTAGAATGCTGAGTGAATTCTGGGCAGAATTCACTGAAATCTACATTGTGAGCCAAACAAATCTGTTACTGCTTTCGCATATTACTCCAAAACAACTAAACAGACAAACAAGAAACTTAGAACTCAGTCTCTTCCCTACCAGTTAGACAATATAAATAAGCCTGAATAGGAAGAACTGGCAAGTTTTTATCATAGGTTGAGCCTTACTTGTCTGAAGCACGTGGGGGTGTGGGGTTTTGGATTTTGGGTTCCAGACGTTTTTGCATTTAGGAATATTTATGCACAGTTGGAAATCTTGAAAATGGGATGCAAGTATAAGCATAAGAAATCATTGATATTTTATATATGCCTCAAAGACAGCCAGAAGGTAATATTATACAATATTTTAAATAATTTTAAATGTGAAACGGTTTTATGATGTGCAGTTTTCTACTTGGGTCATCATATTGGTGCTCAAAATGTCTTATAGTTTGAATTTTCAGAATAGGGATGCTCAACCTGGTATACATTCAGTCAATATTAAGTTATCTTAATAAATTTGTTCCAGTTAGGTGTTTGTGTGTGCGTGTGTGTGTGTGTATTTAAGTAAAAGGAAACCTGAGCCTGGTTTCAAAAAAATTATGGAAAAAAAATTAGGGTCATCACTTTGATTTAACAGCATATTCTAGCTGTTAAGAAATTATCCGAGCAGAGGCTTATTGATCATTTATCCCTTTATCATGCTATTCTTTGTGTCAGGTTTGGCCATGGCATTGGGAATAGAAAAATGAGTATGATGTAGCCTTCTGCTTATGCTATTTACATTTAAACTATGTTGAGAAATATTGGCAGGAAAATATGATGAGCCTAGTCTCACTGGAACAAAAAATATACAAGAGGGATTACTTATACAAGCCAATTGATGGTGGGCATTTATTGGTTTGGCAATCTAACATTAATTCCTAAGATGATGTAAATCAGTAGAATTACTCATCAAAGGGACAATAGGATGAAACCTCACTTTAGAATGTTAATCCTCATACTTGTGCATTTAAAGTGATTATTTCGGTATAAACTCTTTTCACATCATGTATCCTTTATTGGAAATTCTTGGGACCAGAGATGTCTCAGATCTCAGATTTTTAGCATTTTTGAAATTTATGGACAATTTAATGCTTGAGCATCCCAAATCCAAAAATTGCAAATCCAAAATGCTCCAAAATTTTACACTTTTGAATGTCTTGTTAGCACTCAAAAAGTTTCAGACTTTGCAACATTTTGGATTTCAGATTTTCTGTTACATATGTTTAACCTATATTTAAAAATATATATTTCAAAGCAGAATTACATTAGGATTAACTGTACTTTATGAAATTTTCCTAAAACAACACCTGTCCTTTAGTGAGTATGTACTACATGTCAGGTAGAGACTGCTTTAGGTTATTTGCTTGCATTAATTATAATCCTCATAAAAATTCTGTAAGAAAGTTGATATGCTAGTTTCCATATGAAAAATGAAGGAGGTCATCACGAAGCAGAATTTTACACGTGACTAGTGTTATAATTATTACTATGACATTCTGGCCTTGATCATACTGTGAGTGACAGCCAAGAAGTAATAGGATGGAAGAACATTTTTATCCTTGGATTTAGATATTTTTGATTCTTTCAATAATTGATTTTTATTATTTGCCTTTGCTCAGCTTAATTGATAATTGACAAATTTTATGGAGATTTTAAAAAATCTTCTGTTTTTCCTATCAATATTTATTCCTTAACTAATCAAAGTGTAACTGATCAAGGGAGGTTAAAAGTACCCTCATAACCTGTGAATTGACTATTATAATTATTTAAATAATGTAATAAAACAGTTATTGTACTCATCAATGTTTACAAGTTTCTATTATGTTTTTTCTAAGTAATAGGATATCTTATAGATTAATTCTTCAAACTACTGCATTTACACAAAGATCAAGTAGGGAATTTGAAACACAAAATTTCTTTCCTTAAGGTTTGCAGTATATATGCTAAGCATTATTTACACTAAAAAATATTTTTATAAACTTATCAGATTGCTTTAATATTTTCTTAAAGCTAATTTTTAAAACTGAGTACTGAATTGATGTTGGAACATTTATGATTAATTTTTTCCTTTTATAAGTCAACCATAAAATTTTTGGTTAAAAGTTCTTAACTAAAAACAGAAATGGATGCATCTATACAGTTGTCTTTTGCTATCTATGGAGTATTGATTCTAAGGACCCTTGTGGGCACCAAGATTTATGGATGTTCAAGTCCTACTTATAAAATGTTTAAAATGGTATACTACTTATAGTACCTCTTCCCATATACTTTAAAAATTTTATTTATAATAGTTACCTCACACATTACCTAATGCAATAGAAATTTTGTGTGGTTGTTATACTATATTGTTAGGGAATACTGACTATAAAAAATGTCTGTACATACTCAGTACAGATACATTTTTTTCTCCAAATATTTTTATATCCATGGTTGGTTAAATACGTGGATTTGGCACCGCAGATAGAGAGGGCCCACTGTATATGTAATTTACTTGGGGCTGTTTTCCCATTTTGAACATTTTCTAAAAGTAATGTTAAAGTGAGTTGCTGAGTTTTAGCTGTGCAACACTTTAGAAATTATTTCATTTGAAAATAATCTTCTAACAAGATATTTGATTCTCTTCTTCTGTGCAATTTATCAACAAATTCTGTTTGAGTTTCCAACTCAGAGAACCTCTGCTGGCACCGTCCTAGCCCCATTCACCATCATATCCTTCTGTGATGTAGTGCATGCCCTTTGATCACCTTGGATCTTGGGTCTACCTTAGCTTTGCTACAAACGTTACATTGATTTGCAATGTAAATCGGACCCTGTAATTCTGTTGCCCAAGTTCATCCAGCAGCTTCTCGTTCCTGTTTGTTGTGATAACCTGGGCAGATCTTCTCCTGCTATCCCCTTCAACTCCTGACTTTCCTCTGTATGTGCCCAAACCTAGATGTACGGGCTTCCTGTCTTCCTAGAAATGTCCTCTTCACCTTTGTAGTTGCTGTTTGCCTTCTGAGAGGGGCACTCTGTCTGAGTAGATTCTTAACTCTCTAGGGATCACCTAAGTACCACACAGCCAGCAAGGCCTCTGTCACCCTACTGAAGTGTCTTACAACTGCCAGCTATTCTCTCTTATAGGATGCTGCATATTTTCATCATGGCAATTCTTACATGAATATAATTCCTTCTTCATTTCTTTGTTTCTTCCTCTTTCAGTGATTCCATTGCTCAGTTTCACTCTGTAGCTCTCAATCAGGCGTTGTCTTTCTCTGGTTCATCCAGGATGATCACATCTTTGGTGTTCAAAACAGTGTTGACAGAGCAAATGTTAGTTGAATGAGTAACCATTTCTTTAAATCAGTTACTAGAAGGGTAAGAGAGCAAGTCACATGTTAATGTTTTGTTTTTGACAGTATTAATGATTTTGTTTGGGTTTTAATTACTTGCAGTCATCTGAGACCTGAAAATATTAAATGGAAAATTACAGAAATAAACAATGAGTAAGTTTGTATTATAGTGTGTTTTTATAATTGTTCTATTTTATTATTACTACTGTTAATTTCTCATTATACCTGATTTATGATTTAAATTTTATTATAGCTTTGTATTTATAGGAAAGAACCATATATACATATATACTCAGAAATACACATATATACCCACAAATAGACACACACACACTGTTATCTACAGTTTTAGGCATTTAGTGACAGTCTAGGAGTATAACTCCCTCATGGAAAAGGGAGGACCACTGAATGAAAGATATAATTGCTGACACACAGCATCTTTTGTTCAGAAAGAGCCCACTTAAAAATGAAAGAGGAAAAGAACTATGAAGAAACGAGTTCTGGGTTTCTTTTCTCCTTTCAGGATTCTGCAGTGGTGTTACTGTTATTGCATACCAGCTCCATGGAAAAAATGAATTATTTGGAAAGATTTACAGATTATAGTGTGGTTGTCACCTTTGCCTCTGGAAGGCAAGCACCTGGACAAAACCACTCCATCAGCACTTGTCAGCAAGTCCACAGAGTGAAATGATTAAAGCAAAGACAAAGGCTGGGAATAAAATGCGTGCATCCTTCAGAGAGCTACAGAGCTTCACATTGTCAGTTCACCTTTCAGGATTTCAAGTTCTAGCTCTTGGTTATGAAGACTGATTTTTATTTTCCCTTTTTCTTTCTCAGTTTAGTGTTCATGAAAAGAAAGATTGATAGCTCTTGTAAGCCTAAGTACAGAGCTGAATAATAGCATCCTAGTTTTTTTTTCCTTTTTTCCTCCTCAACCATATTTTTCCCCTAGGTATCTTACCTTGATTTGTTTATACAGTGTTTGCGTTTTTAAAAGAAAGTGGTTGATATGGTTTACTAGAAACTCTGTTTTGATTTGTTTATATTTAATTTCATAGATTAGCACTCAAGATTTTTGAAAACCCTTTGTTCTATAAAAACCTAGGTTATATAGTTTAAAACTGTTTTTCCAAGGCTGAAACATATTTATTTAAATGAAAAGGCATCGTGATGTATATTTGTGATTTTAGTGGATGCTGAATTTCATCAGGTTAGGAAATTCTCCATCAGGAAACAACTCTGTGGTTTTGATAAATAATAGTTTTGCTTTATCTACTGCAGATTTATTGTGCACTTATATATTAGAAGATTTGATTCCTTCTTCACCCAATACATTTTAAAAATGGATTTAAGTGATTCAAACGTGAAACAGACACAGGCGTGTCATGCAGTGGTTAAGAGTGTAGCTTCCCAAATTCAACTGCTTGGGTTATACTCCTGCTCGGATGCTAAATACCTGGGTGACCTTAAGAAAGTCAATTAAATCTTAAATTTCTGTGGAAAGAGTACATGAAAATGGTATAATAATAGAACTGACCTAACAGCATTATTCTGAGGAATCAGTGAGTTAAGATATATAAAATGTGTACAAGGGTATATACCACATAAATAAATGGGTAGTATCATAATACCAAGCAGAAGGGACAGTGGAGGGATTACATGTAAATGCAGCTACTTCTGGCTTCCAGTTAGTTTTTGTGTGTAGGTGTTTTCCTACAGATGTAGCTGACAAGGTGCCCATGTAGAGAATTCATGCCCTTCTATCCTAGCATTTAAAAAGGTGACTTCTGTACTTGTTAACCTGCTTTTGGGTAAATACTATAATTTTTTCTTTCCTGTTCTACTCTAAATATCAAAATTGAATAGAAATCATCTCTGATCACTTTATCCACTTTACTTAATCTCATAACCAAGCTCCTGTCAAACTGCTGAGACCTGACAGCTACCCATTCTGTGGCCCTAAGTTTATTGTTGGACAAGTTCTAGAAGCTGATTAACAGTAAGACTTCTGCAGCAGAGAGGGTTTCCTGGAGGGTATTGACATTTCTTAAAGGCAAGAGTGCACATCTAAATTGGCCTAAGCGGACCAATGTTGTCCAACATAGTTTTGCCAAAACTTCTCGTTGCTTCCCAAATCAATAAGAATGTCATGACTTTCTACCACAGCTTTGCTATTCTAAGTCCTCAGAGGTAATAACTGCCTTCCTTGTCTGACCTTTGGCCCATTTCACTTAGGAATATAAAGCTAAGAAATGCTTATAGAGCTAAAGGACTAAATCTCTTCTAGCCCACATTGCTAATTTAAAATGAGTTTGGATGCACCTTTTAAAAAGAGATTTGTCATTTATTTCTCCTTTAGAATTTACATATTAAGTTCTGCATTCATGTTTGCTTTATGCATCATTCATTTGGCACTGTTTGTTTAAGGCCTTCAAATGTCTCCCACTTGTCTACTGCAAGAGTTACAAACTCCCCAGCACTTGTCACTGAAGTCTCTGGGGGCCTGGCCTCTGCCTTGAACCTGCAGTCTTGTTTCCCATTTCCTGCCTTCCTGTGTAATCTGATTGTCCAGCCAAATAGGGTTTCTGCATTTTCCCCTTGCTGTGACTTTCCTCATGCTGTTCTTTTTCAGAATTATGAAATAATTATAGCTTTGAATCCATGTCTTTTTGAGAAATGTGCCTCCCAAGTAATAAAGGCCTATTGAAAAGCTGCATGTTTTGGAAAGGTTTTTCTGATTACTGCAGTTTGAGGGTGACTTCTTCCTTGAATGCCAACCCCTAAAAGGACCATCTGACAGTTATCATTCCAAACACATCTCCCCTTTCATGGGATTACAAATCGATGGTGACAGAACAGGATAGAACTCTTGCCTGTGCCAGTGTTTGTCTGTGTATTGAATATTGTACATTTTTAAAAGTTTTTGATGAAGATTATTCCAATCATCATACCGTCTTGTTTTGAAGCTATTTCATAATTACCTTTGATTAGTACAATGTCCTTTTTATATATCTTAGAAATAAACAATGATTATTTATTTAAAAATTAGGGCCTTTCACAATGTTTTACTATAGGATTTGAGGGTCTTGGAATAACACATCACTTTCCACTTGAAACTGGTGAACCTCCACTAGCTTTCTTTTCCAGTATTTCTTTTCCAGGATTTCTTTGTGCTGGCTGCTTCTACTAGTTATGATTCTCCTTGTCATTTGGCAATCTATTTTTCAGAATATGGCGATTCTACACTTAGGGTTTCTATCTGTTGAGTGTTTCTCCTAGTGATACATTGTCTTATTGTCTTTTACTTAACACCACTTCCACTTAAGTTTATAATGGTGTGCTAAAAGTCAATAAATAATTTATTTTTTCTTTTAAGTTTTTACTGTTTTGACTTGATTTGGTACAGAAAGCTGCAAGTATAGGGAAGAACACCCATTTACTTAGACAGTCCAGTTACTAATATTTATATTTGCTTTATCCTAATTTTTTTGTGGATGTGTTTATATACACACAGTCATGTATATACACATACATATTTGTGTATATGTTTGTCTCATACTTTTATCTCTGCACCCTCATATTTAGAGTCACTCAAAGTAAGTTGCAGACATGATCCTTTTTACCCCTGGTATCTGTGTGTGTGTGTATGTGTGTGTGTGTGTGTGTGTTTTGTGGTACCAGGGATCAAATTCAAAACCTTGTGCTTGCAAGGCAGGTGCCACTTGGCTAAATCCCTGGCTAAGTGTGTATTTTTTACAAAGAAAAATAACCACTATAAAGTGATCAGACTTAAGAAATTATCTAATCTGTGGGCTTTTTTTTCGTATATCTAATCTATAGAATTTCTTGGCCTTAATGTTTATAGTTCTCGTGTATTTCAGATTAAAAATTGAATGTTGCTTATATAATTCCATTCTTTGCATTAACTTACAATTTGAGTTATGCTAGTTTTTGGAGCTGTAAAATAGGATAGTGAAGTGGTAATTCAAAAATAATTCTGGGCCGGGCATTTAGTGGAGTGGCACCACACCTGCTTTGCAAGTGCAATGTCCTGAGTTCAATTCCTGGTAACAAAAGGAAAAAAAAAATAATTCCTTATATCTAGGGAAAGTAAAAATTCCAAGCAATTTTTCCTTCATAATATTACTTAATGAAGATAGGGCTGTAGCTCAGTGATAGAGTGGCTTTGTCTAGCATGTGCCAGGTTCTAGTTCAGTCCCCAGCACTTCTGTATCATGTCTCCCTGCCTCTGGCTTCATTCTCTCAAATACACTTTTCACAGTAAGCAGAATGTGTAAAAGTCAAATCTGATTGTATTTCACTGCTAAAACCATTTCAACCTTTGCCATCACCTATCAAATCAAGAATCAGCAAAGTTCTCTTAAAAGGACCTGTTGTAAAGTTTAGATTTTGTGGGCCAGCTCAGCTATGCTCTTACAGTGACAAAGTAGTCTTAGACAATCCACGAACAAATGTGTGTGACTGTGTTCCAATAAAACTTGATTTACAAAAACAGATGATGGTCTGATTTGGCCTGCATGCTATAATGTGGTGACCCTATGCCGGATGCATTTTATATGCCCTAAATAAAACATGAAAACACTGCAAGTCTTGACTGTTTCTTCCTTTGCATCCCTACTTAATTAGTAGGTATAGTTTTTTTTGGTTTTTTTTTTTTTTTTTTGGTACTGGGGATCAAACTTGGGACATTGCACTTGCAAAGCAGGCAGCAGAACCACTGAGCTAAATCCCCGGCCCCTAGTAGGTATAGTTTTACTTTTTATGCTACATTTTTTTCTCCTCTTTGTAACTCTCTACAGTCATCAGTCTTTAAAGCTTTAGAATTATTTTGCAACAACTATTTTATGGATCTGCCTACTTCTGTGTTTATCAGTTGTCACTTCTCTCTGGTACATTCCTTGCTATTAGATTATAATTTTTTTGAGACCAGAAAGTATGACAACTTTATATTCTATGCATCAATGTCATGCTCTTTAACCAAAATTGGAAATTTATTTGTTTGAATCTAGTCAACATTTAAACCATGTATTTTTTTAAAAAGTAGATTTAGGTTGTTGTTCAATTTTTTAAAAGTTTTGGGTTTGCTTTAATTTATAGAGACAAATAAAAAGTGGTGTATTTTGGAAGGAGGCTTCTTGAGTTACTACGAAAATGATAAGTCTACAACACCTAATGGCACCATTAACATCAGTGAAGTTATCTGCCTGGCTATACACAAAGAAGACTTCTATTTAAATACTGGGTAGGTCTACCATTAAACAGCTAAGAGTCAAAAAGTATTTGCAGACAATTATCATACCAAGTAAAAAGGATTTTGTTAACATTCCAGGTCTTCAGTTTTTCTCTGTAAAAGGATTTAATGGTATCTTGAAGCCTATTCATTTTACACTGTCTAAACATTCCTTAGAGAAGTCCATAAAAGGTAGTGAATTAAAATATACTAGGTAATGAAAGGCAGCGTGTCTGCCTGTCATTCTAAGTAAATTTATTATGTTCCAGTACTTACTGTAGCACTTTGACTTTTATAATTCAGGCATTATTTTAAGTAATGGACTAATGGCAAAATGTATGTGTTTGGTTAATGAGTGTTATGATGAGAAAACATATGAGAAAAAATATTCAATGATGACCTACTCACATTAGATTTAAAAAATTGAATATATTCAATAGCATATTCAATGCTAAATTTCTTAAAGATCTACTTTTATGTTTTGATAGTCTGAAGAAGTTGCAATTAAAGGATTAAATGTTATTTATGTAATACGTTTGAGAGTTTAAATGAATTTCTGTGAAGATTTTTAGAAACAACATGTAAGGCCTGATATGAAAAGTTTCCTATGTTTTGCAATATAATTAAACACTATAAGTATTAAAATCTAAATGGACACTGAAATGAATAGACATTTCTCAGAAAAGTACAGATGGCCAATAAATATATGAAAAAATGTTCACTGTCTCTGGCCATTACAGAAATGCAAATTAAAACAATATTGAGATTCTGTCTTACCCCAGAAAGAATGGTCATCATCAAAAAATCAAATAATAACAAAAACTGATGAGGCTGCAGGGAAGAAGGAACCCTTCTATGATCTTGGTGGAAATGTAAACAACTACAACCATTATGGAAATCAATATGGCAATTCCTCAAAAAGCTAAAAGTAGAAATTCCATTTGATCCAGATATTCCCCTCCTAGGTATCTTGCCAAAAGACTTAAAGACATCATATTACAATCATATATGAATACTCATGTTTATAACAGCACAATTCATAATAGAAAAATCTTGGAAGCAGCCTCTATGTCCATCAAGAGGTGAATGCAATAAAGAAAATGTGGTATTTATACACCGTGGAGTACTACTCTGCCATAAAGATTTGTAGGAAGATGTATACACCTTGAGACATAATGTTAAGTGAAATAAATTAGACACACAAGCTTAAAAATTGCATGATTTCTCTTACATCAAAACCCAAAGTATAAATCGAGCAAATTAAAAGATAATTGGAAATAGGGAGATAGATCTTTCATAAGAGGAAAAGGGACCTAGAAAAGGAGGGAGCTGGAGGGAAGATAGTGGAAGGGGATGAAGAAAACAATTGAGTTGGGTTATGTATATGTCCCAACTCCCTGTGAGGATATAATCATTAGGTAGTGTAAACATGTACTAATAAAAAATAAAAATTGAAGAAAAATCTAAACCAAAAGTTTTTGTTTGTTCTTTTGTGTTCCAGTGCCGGGGATGGAACCCAGGGCTTTGCAGATGTTAAGCACAGAGTCTGCCACTGAGCTATACCCCCAACCCTAAACCAAAAGTTTTGTAGTAGCACAGTATTTTCATAAATTTTTATATGAGGGAAGAGATTTTTTAGAGATGTTAGTTACATACAACCATGTGAACTACATTGTCATTATTAAATAATTAGATTATTACATTATGTTGTGATACTAATATATGCCCTGTATATATCAGTATTACATTAGGTAATACCGAACAATAATGACCGATATACTAATTGAGATGACTTGCTTTGTAGTGAAATTGTGTCATCAGATGAAATGAGGATAGACAATCTGTGAAGTGAGATAAGAACAGAGTTAAGAACAGGTTGGTCAGTTTTTTGAGCATTTAGAGCAATGCAAGGAGTTGTCTGAGGGGGGATTTGGCACCGAGGAGAGCCTGTGTCAAGCCAGTCAACTGATGAGTGTCCAAGACATTAACAAAGACATGCTACAGAGTGATTAATTAGAAAAATGTTCCTTTTGTCTGACTCAGTATGTTCCATTTAGGTCATTTAAATAAAATACAAAACAATAATATCATGAATAGGTTGACTTTTTAAACATCCCATTTTAAAAAGGAATTTAATTAAAACCTTGACATTTGTGTTGTTCTCATAAGAGCCAAGCATAACTTATGGTCTCTTTTTATTTGTGCATGCTGTAGGCCTGTTTTTATCTTTGAGATCTACTTACCCTCAGAGCGTGTGTTTTTATTTGGAGCTGAAACATCTCAAGCTCAAAGAAAATGGACAGAGACTATAGCCAAGGTATTTAAATATTATATTGTGTAAGTCAAGAAAAGATTGTTAACTTGGGGTCTGTAGTTGAGCTTCAGGAGTCCAGGAAATTTTAAACAGGATTCAGGGAATAAGGTCCATACTTCAATAGATTGTCAAAGACTATAGTCAAAGGGGGTTAAAAGCCATCTGCCCAGTACCTGAAGCAGACAAGAAATTATTCTCATAAATCTAAGACCATGTTTTTGATGATTAAGATATTTTTAATATTGTGAAGTCATTTCTTTGTATGTCTTTTTTATAGGTAGATATTTTATTCTTGATATACACAAAGAGAAAAGGGACAGATTCAGTAGAAGATATGAATGGACCAAAGTATGGGAAATTGACATTTTGAAAAATGCCACAAATTAACAAAGAAAATGTCTCCCTCTTTCAACTCTGTATATAGCAAGAAAGATTGGTTTAAGATACTGCTATTTGAAAATGAATTTTAGCTGTTCACTTTTAAGACAGATACAAGTTTAAATAAAATTGAGTTTTGAGTTACTTATGAATCTTTAAAATAGAAAAAGTAGAATGATTTTTTTAACTTCCCTCATATCTGTAGATAGGGAAGGAGTTTCCTGTTTTCACTGTCTTTATTACTTTTCTGTATTTGTTTTAACAGCATTTTGTTCCCTTTGTTGCTGAAAACCTAACAGAAACCGATTATGATTTGATTGGTCAACTGTTCTACAAAGACTGCCATGCCCTGGATCAGTGGAGAAAAGGCTGGTTTGCTCTGGATAAATCTAGTTTACATTTTTGCCTTCAAATGCAAGAAGCTCAAGAAGATAGAATGCACTTAAGACGACTGCAAGAGCTAAGTAAGATGTGGTTTTCAAGCCCCTTTGAGATATAATTCTATATTGTTCACAGTAATAGTAGCTTTTATATCAAATTATAATAGCTTATGCCTCAGCTTTTGGCTAAGTAGTAGTAGTAATTGTGTCTTTCTGTTTCTTTTGTGTAACATTTAAAATCTGTGGTTATGTCTTATCCCTCCAGCAACCAGCACAATGATTCAAAATGGGGAAAAATTGGATGTCTTATTCCTGGTAGAAAAAGGGAGGTAAGTGCCTTTTTGCTTTTTAATCTTTTATCTCAACAAGTGTTGGGAATGAGATACGGTATTTTGGTTATCTTCTTGGAAAACCAACCATTATTTTATATTTTTGGAAAATTTTTCTGAATTATATAACTAAAATTTCTTTGTGGAAAGATTGTATTGATGAATTCTATGTATTTTTATACTTTTTTATCATAAACAGTGATGAATTTTGTAATTTTCTGTAGACCTAGATTCCTTTGAGATTTGGAAAATATTTGGAAAGTAGTTTGATAATTCTAAATTTACTTTTAGTGTAGGTAGTATTTGGAAAGTAGTTTGATAATTCTAAATTTATTTTTAGTGTAGGTATGATACATGTAAATAATATCTTGAATTCATCTATGCATGTGGATGATACATATCTAGAACTTTATTTCTTGAATTTATTCAGTTTTTCAGGAACTACTAATTATTTACTGTACTTTAGGTCTTTCATAGTTTTGGGGATACAGTGAATAAAATACAATTTCCCTGCCCTCGTGAAACTAGTACAAGAAGTGGAAAAAAAAATTATGTTATGTTGTGTTCATCAGTTTTAAATCGTATGAAGAAAAATAAGTGAAATAGTGCCTGAAACAATATTCTGTTTTAGCTAGAATGATAAAAGAAGGAATCTTTAGTAAAATATCTGCATAAAGTGAAGAAGCAAACTCTGCAGTTATCCAGATACTGTGGTCCAGATTCAAGGGTCCAGTGTCAAGGATAGCTGAAGATCCTAAGAGACTTTTGTGCTTTGCATGTGCAAAGTCTGCAGATAATCTTCTGTGTCTGGGATGATTTTGTGAATGAGAGAATGGGAGGAAATATCTCAGGAGCATCTCAGGCTAGATCACATAGGGCCTTAGAGGTCATGATGTGTACATATTTGAATTTGATGCTAAATTTGATAGGAAGCTGCTCAGGTTGAGAGCTGGGAAGTTTGATGATCTCATTAATGTTTTTAAAGGATTACTCTGAATCAAGATGAATGAGCTTTTTAAGACAAGAGTCAACCTGGGTATCTAGTTACAGAGCTTTCACAGAAGTCAGTGAACAGTTGGGTGACCCGAGAAATAGTGGTCAGAAAGGTTGAATATACTGTAAAAGAAAAGTTGTCAGGATCCATTGGTGTATTACATTAGTGTAAGATTAACTATAAACCCAAAGTTTTGGGCCTGAGTAATTTTATGAAGGATAATGCTGTTTGTTTTTTTTCAGATAACAAGTACATGAAGAGTAGTGGTAGGATCAGTAAGTTTGGTACAGTAAATCAAGTATTTGTCTTTGGCAACAGTACTGTATTTTGGAAGTATGTGTTTGGTAGCAGAGAGAAGCCTTGAGTAGGCAGTTGGATATGCAGATTTTGAATTAAGTGCAGTGATTATACCTGGAAATAGAAATGTGACCCTCATCAGCAAATGCTGTTATTTAGCCAAACAACTGGATGGGTTCACTGAAGATAATCAGTATAGTGGGGAAAGAGTTGAGACTGTAGGCAAAGGCCTCCAGTATTTAAAGGACAGAAAGAGAGGAAGATCAAGAAAAAGAACCTAGGAATGAGCAGCTATGGACATATCAGAACAATTAAAGAGATAGTGTTTCTTGAATAAATTGGGTTTTTTTCCCTCCATTTCTTACCATTTGGGTAAAAAATAGCTTCATGCTATTTCAGAATGTTCAGCTCTACGGTAGCTCCTAATAACTTAAAACACACACACACATGATATAAAAATACAGGTAAATCAGCTTTCGTCTTTATTTTTCCTGCTAGTGACAACAATAATGATTTTCAAAAGTTCTTTGAACCTGTCTTCCATACAACTTCTTAGGAGGACATGAACAGCCTTAGAGAGCAAAGCATAGTGCTGATTAAATATTTGTTAAAATTTTTTTTTAACTTACAGGCATAATTAGGACTTATCATTTTTACTTATTTATTTCTTGGATTGTGATGGTTAGTGACACTTTAGATTTTGCTTTGTGTACAACAAGATAGTTTCACTGAATTGCCAAAGTATTGTTAATTATATTTTCAGAAAAGCAATATTATGTGTGCATAGGTAGTATTATGACATGATAGTATTAGAACAAGTACAATTTTTGTCTATTAATATTTGTGGAAGGATTACTGCTTGCTACTTCCTTGACAGGAAAAATTAACAATATAGACTTGGTATCGAAGCTTATAGAGCTTGTACTTTTATTATTTTTTCTCATTAAGTTTATTGGTACATTTTAGGTATAAAATAGTTATATTCATCTTTGGGATCTTGTACCTTTACATGACTAATCTTGGTTCTTATTTTATCCCCATTCCCCTACCCTCCACCCTGTCTACCCTTCCCTATTTACAAAAACTTTGTTTCCGTTTTTTTTCCTTTTCTCATATTTTTTCTTTTCCCTTCTTTCCTTTCCTCTATCCCTCCCACTTCCCCTACTCCTTTAGACCTTTTCTTCCTATTACATAATGTCAATTATATATATATATATATATTTAAATTACATTATCAAGATTTAGAGGACATTACCGCAGATTTTACAGAATTTAAAAGGATATAGAAAGCATATTACAAAAATCT